TTGCACAGATACAGAGACTATGTAGGAATATTGAAAGAGTAAAAAAGAAAATGGAGAAAAAGAAGAGAAAGAAAATGTGTTTTGACGTGGACGAATTAATGCACCGTGGCCTCCGACCGATCGAAAATATCGAATACAGCGATTACTTTGTTATCAATGACGGCATATCCATGTGACACCGCACTCTGTGACTCAATTATCGCGAATAATTACGGTGAAACAGGATATCCGGAATATTCAGACATTTCCACGTATTTCCGATGAGTATTACTTTTTCGCGCAGACTGGGGTAATTTGCAAGACATAGCGTAATTCTCTTCCTGTTTAAAAAATAAACAAAAATATCAACTTTTCACGAATAAATAACTCTTTTTCGTTTTCTTATAAATACATCGCTTTTTCGAGAAAACTGATTTCGTGTTTATTTATTTGTTTTATCTTTTTCATATTCTCGGTGGAGGTGAATTGTATAACGATGAACTTCAATGAATCGCTAATTGGTATAGTGGAATTACAAGTTTAGTAATATACTAAATTTTTGGTCTTTGTCTTTCAGCAACGCGATGTGACAATGACGATGGTACAACGAAGAGAATTATTTAATTCTTCGCGAGAATATATTAATTTATTTTTATAAATGTAACGTAATAATGGTTTAATAAAAAGGATCTTTTATTGAATAACTTGCCGAATTTCTTTACCCTACCAATGATTCTCAGCAACTATCGTTGATTTAATAATTCCTTGACTAATATAGGAAACGAATCTTTTATACACGAAAATATATTAATCTAGTTTTATACATATATATAACACGATAGTGGTGCTAATTTAACAAAAAGATCCTGCATTAAATAGTTACTCTACTCCTCCAACGTGAATAATTTTCAACGAAGATTATTATCATATTTAATGCAGTCATTTTTAACAATTCCCTGAAAATATATTAATTTTTCTCTATAAATACCACATTAAAAAATTCCACTGCTAACTCCACCAACTCCTTGTGTGTCAATAATTCTCACTGAAAACTATGCCAATTAAAATAATATTTTCCAACGATCCATCGATCGATATAATAATTAAAACATCTCTACACGTGAAAATATATTAAATTCTCTCTACAAACGTAATACCACGTAAAATTTGGACAATGGGATATACTTCGATGCGAAATTGGTAAACTTTCCCAATTTCCCAAAGGAACCCACCGAGTCTCTATTCGAAATGACTTTTCTCGAAAACTGTACAATCAAAATTAAAAGAAAAAAAATATTCCTCTGCGCGAATCGCGCTATATCTTGTATAACAATCGAACAATTATATAAAAACAATATTCGCATGCTCGACGATAAAATTTATCACAGTATCATCGCTCTTTGCGATCCCTTCCTCGTTTCTCTCATCAAATTCCTCTATAAATCATCGTATAATCATCATTCACGAATCCGAGGAATTCGCATAATTATTTACAATCGTTGAATTTGTGCGTAGGAATAAAATATATCACGAGTCTCGTTCAGTCTTGACTCTATTCGAGCACCATGATCCATAGATCCCTTCATTCAGGATGATAAGTAAACGTAAAAACGACCGTTTCCAGCATCGAGGAACCTAATCTTAATTTCACTAAAATAAAACCTTACACTCCTAAAAATATTTCTTCACGATTCCCAAAATTCCTCGCAAAGAAATATCAATTCCGTTGAAACAAAATTATTACAAAAATATTGCGGATAATTTTCCAGGAAATGCTGGCTACTTATTCGTCATCGTCAATTTGCTTGTTCGTTTATTATTCATTCCTTCTTAATGGAGTTTGAGAGAGAAATGGAAGTAACGGGCAAAGAACGACGATGCAATGGACACCGAACGATTTTAAAAATCATGGAGACGTGAACGCGATCGACGTGAACGGCGACGAACAGAATCGGCGAGCTCGCGATTTGAAAGAGGAAATAAAAAGGACGAAAGGGGCACGAGAAATAAATAAACGACGATAAACAATAATAGACTACCTCCTCGACGATAAGAATCATCTCTAATTCGTGTTTCTTTTTTTCTTTTTTCATTTTCCTGCAGACTGTTCGTCACCGATCCTCGTCCATCGGTTTCACAGCCGAAATCGGACGAGAAGAACTTGAGAATTGCAAAGAAGACAAGAGAGGAAGGGAACAGACATAAAACGATTAAAAGTAGCAAATTAAAATTATAAAGTAAAAATAACTATTAAAAATGGACAGAGAGAATTATTAGCATTTCCATGCTCTTCCACTCCTTCTCTATCATGCAAGCCCACACACACGCACACGCACGCACACGCTTTTTCCACCGTTTCTCTCGCTCTCTTTCTCTCTCGTACCTTAACACCGTAATAATGTCGTATTTTTACTTCGTTAATTAATTTTCCCATCTTTTCTTCCTGTTTTCTTCGTTAAAAACTGCAAAAGGCTCGGTAATTGGACGAAAGCTCACGGCTCTACGGACTAGAGGTGCAACGTATGCTTACGTGTACATTACAATATAAAAATATACTACCGTTACAGCTATGGTTTTCGTTCGTCACGTCTCGAACGTAGAAACGTCTCCCTTTCGGAAAGAGAGATGCTTGGATCGATTGGATCTCGCATTAATTGCAATGGAAAAACTCCATGTACACAGTTACGGTTCTCTAAGCTCAGTCATCCTTGTCCGGAGTATTCTTTTCTCGTAAACGTCTCGTAAATGACTACTCGCTGATTCAATAGACTAGAAGGTTCAAGTTAACGAGCAAACGGAGCAATTTCTTTCCAGAATTTCTCTCAACGAATTTACGCCGCGTAAAATTTCATGATTTTACAAGTAGCCATCAGACGTCATCTATTTTCCACGTGTTCTCTCCAATCTACTCGATCCCGATAGTTCTCACCTAATCAGACAATCCGGACGACTCTACGACTCACTGCGACGTTGAAAATGGTTCTTAAGAAACTTACAAATATCTCCTGCGAATTCGTAAGGATTTTGTAAAATTTTTCTAAAATATCCAGAGCAATCTACATTTTATTCGCGTTAAAATAAGGATCCTTTATGTCGAATAAAAAGAAAGAGATCCAAAGGATTTTACAGGCCATCACGATCTCAAACAAATCTTTAAAAATCGTTAAAAATATCTGAAAAATTCAGGAATCCGAAGGACTTTACAATTTAAAATAACACGATCTTAAAATAAATTTCTAAAAAATCTCAGTTCACAAATACGTAAAAATCGTTTTACATCATCACCTAACCAAATTTAACCAAATCCAGAGGATTTTATAATTCACGGTGATCTTGGTTAAGTTTTTCAAGAAATCCGCCCGAAAAAGAAATCTATACTCTAGTCACAACGGACGTAGGAATTGGGATCGAGCTTTGAAAATTGCGATTCGAGGATAAAAATTTCTGTCGCGCACAGAAACAAGGCTGCGAAGGGTTTACGCAAGAACGGTGCACAGTGACGTATCGCGCGAAGGAAAATGGCACGATGTCAAATTATTTCTACGTTCGAGACCAGCGTTACAGTGTTTTACCCGCGCGTGTTTCGCCTCCTCGATGACGTAAGGTCCTCGCAAAAGTCGTAGCAGACGGTGGAAATCGATTTCTGTAGGAACCAGGCCTCCCACGCGAGACACACTCTGCGCCACCACCCTTGGGAGAACCTTACGCGCGAGTTCATAACGACGGCTTGCAAAACACGCACGAGGATTAACAAAAATAGTTCGTCTCCGGTTTACTCAGGGTGTCACGCGACAGTCTTTCGCAATCGTTCCTCGCGAGTGATTCAAAATGACCGCTAACGTCGATCCGACCGTCTCTGCGAGCTAGCAAATTCTTTTCGATATTCCGAAATTTCCTTTCGACTGAATATTTTCGTTTCTGCGTGACACCCTTCGCCATGAAAAATTTATAAACGTGTATTCCATAAGTTTCAACAATGGTGGATAATATAAATTGCTTTCGTTCCGGGAATCCCTTGTATTTGGAGCTCGATGTACAGGGTGTCTCAGAAATTCTTTGAGAAATATCTTTAAGGAGAGTCTTTCGTAGGTACTACAGTTAGAGATCAGTTGTTGAGTTTCTGACAATGTAAATAATTACATAATTCGGTTGCTGATAGAGAATGATATTTTTCTTCCTTTTTTTTTTATTCTTTTTCTGATGATTGAACGATTAAATGTTCGAAGAAACTGATAGATCTCTTCGCAGAATGAAAATTAGAGAGACAAAGTTTCTGTTCGTTTGAACACACCGCGTGTCTGGCAGTAGACGATCCTTTTCTCCTTATTTCGCTCACATTCGTGTCGCACATCTATTCTGCGTCTTTATTTAAACCTTTGTTACATGTTCATTGTCGTTTAAATAATCCGTGACATTTCGCAAACGTCGTGTTACGATACACGCTAAAATATCCCTTCCTACTGACACGAAGTTCCATTTATCCGTGATAAAATTAATGAAACACCCTGTACATCAGGCTCGAGTTTTCATAACATAATTAAAATATCTTAATTCGTAACTCCGATATAACTGTCTCCATAAATCTCGATAATCATCATTCTCAATATGAAGTGGAAGAATATCGTTTCTGTCGTTAACCAGAATAGAATTCGACTTTGTATCTTTTTTTTTTCTTTTTCTCTACAATGCATATATATACAGAGGATAAACTATAGGGAAGGCTTTCAGTTGTGTGTTGAGTAATATGCGTGTAAATATCGAGGGCCTCAATAATGGTGGTTACGATGCGCCCAAGTTAGAACAATTAAAAAAAAAAGAAGAAAGTACCATTTCGTTGAAGTGTAGAATATGCGAAGAAACAAACGAACCTATCCAATAATAAAAAGAAAAAAAAAAGAAAATCGCGTTTCTCTACAAGAAACGTTTCCTCGCGCTTAACGAAAGGGTTGACCACTTGCGCTAGCAAGAAATTCACAGACACGTGTATCAGAACGGTTTCTGTGACAATTGCCTAACGACGTGTGTACCACGTCGTTGGCGATTCTGTATTACGACAAAAGCATTACGACGTGCGTGGCACGTGTTTCCAGCGCGAGTGGTTAAACATCTCCCGTTTAAACTGTTCCCTCAGCGAGACACGGAAGAGTAAGGATAAAAAGAAGAAGAATGAGAAAACGGATCGATTAATAAGTATTCTGTCCCCAAGTTAACGATAACGATAAAATAAAGCGGGTAAAATAGCAAGGTGTAACGATATCTGCCATGCGTTCGATATAAAATTAGAAAAGATCGACGTCGATCGTACAAAAAGATCGGAGAAAAACAAAGAAAAAATGGCAAAAGTTACCGAAAAGACTCGATTACATTCTCGCGTGGATATCGTATATCGTGTAAAAACGTGTCGATGATATGTACAGTAGAATAAAAAGTGGTGTGCAGCGAACATGATTGGAAGAAAGCTCGCGTACGGTGTACATCGCGGTTAAGGGTTGACCGAGCTACGAAAACCTAACCCCCGTTAGTCCTCGAGACACACTTGCCCACCAATACTGACGCCGCCTATGTACAATTTTCACTGCGTCCACGTTCTCCGTGTACGTTATAGAAAGCACTTGTTCACGATGAAAACTATTAGAAAAAATATCTTACGAATATATAGCGTAATCTTAATATCGTCTCGTTCGTTTCCCTATCGACTTCGTATTGCAACTGCTACCTGGGTAACGGTGGTCGGAATTACAAATGAAACGCTTAAACGTTACCAAAAATATCGCGGTGCCGTGAAATACTATATACCCCGTGGTTTCCAACGCCAAGTGCACCCTACGACTATGGTCTCTCTGGTTATCTCTATACCCGAGGGTGAACGCGTGGTCGATCGCGATACCGGTTCGTCGCTAACGTGGTCGCTCGTCCAGGCGATACCGAGTAAGCAATCTGGCCAACGATCGTTAAATGTCACTCGCCGTTCTCAGATCGACGGACAAATCGATCGAATTAGCCAATGCTACCTCGTGCACGCGACAGAGTTGCTCTTTAGGCCCGATCTGCCTAGAACTCTGACTCGCGATCTTCGATGCCAACGCGCTGAAAATGTTCCTTTCTCGGCTCTGTTTCGATCAACCGCCAACTCGAGTCACTTTGACAACGCTATATGATCGCTACGCAAGTTAGTCGCTTATTCCTCTTGCCGGGTAGCACGAACGCCAGCGACAATGGACCCTGTGTCGAAGATGGACTGCGTGTGGATCTTCGAGGAAGGATCCTGGTCTCGGTCGAAATCGTGGGATCTTATCTCCCGTGTGGTCCTCGTGAGGTATAATATGTACATATCCGCACCACCAGGACGAACAATTGGAAGTCCTCGGATCACGAATCAGTTCTGATCTAAAATTAGTTAACGCTGACGTAAAGGGTAGGTATCTATTGTCGAAGGTATGGAACTCTCTGTTCCGCGATAACGGTGTGGTTAAAAGATTCGTCGCGTTGCTGGCACCCCTAACAGTAGTACGGATACACGTGATAAAATAACAATAACGAATGATGATCGGTGAGTAATCATCGTCTTGGAGATTTATACAGCGATACGGGTGTTCAACGATTAATCGATCGGGCCTCGGTCTTTCTGGTTCGCGACGATCGTTGGGCGAATGAGATCCAGAATCGAGGATGAGGAACAGCCCTGTTGGGCAGCGTGGTACTCGTCAACTGTCACGTCTCGCTCTCGAAACGAAACTGTTCGTGAATATCGTATCACGTGGGCACTTGGATTCCCATTCGTGTGCTTTTCTTATTTTTCTCTTTGTTTTCGTTTTCTCTCCGGCTTTCCCGACGTTACAGCTCATGCAATGGCACTGGATCAGATTGGCACAGGTTGAACGTTTTGATTAAACGAATAAAAGTACTTCCGTTTCGAAGCGTTGGCACGCTAAAAAATACAGGGACTACGTGTCGGTGAGCTAAAGAAAAGTGTCACAAGCGAGACCCCGGACTGGTCGTCGCTGAGAATTTCCTCGGCAGTTACGTTTCCCGTGGATTAAAGTTCATCGAGAGGTCGTAGATTCGACTCTAACGAATCGGTTCGAGAATACTCGTGCAACTACGTGAGATATCGTTAATAGTTAAAACAAAAAAAAAGAAAAAAAAAAAGGAAAAGAAACAAAACCAAAGAGCCTTCGATTTCGCCTTCTCGAAGCACTACCACCCCTAGAATCCTTCCAACGAACGTCTCGTTTCCGTTTCAACGGTTTCTTTCGTAATCATCGACCTCTGTCCCAACGTCTCGCGTCGCGATCATCGGTGAGATTGCGGATGATCTTGGAGACGCGGTTAGAGTGAGCTGCGGCGCAAAGTCTGTAGAATTAGGTACTTTCTAGGAACGTGAAAATAATCTCCCATGATCTCCCGGACAGTTCGAATGCTTCATGCTTGGTCGCGTTCCGAATACTATGGCGACTGGCAAGCTTGCAGACTCCTTCATCGCGAAGATCGATCCTCTTCTATACGTGTCAGGTCCGAAGAGCTACTCGGTATTTCTTCTCTCAACCACCGGCGTCCTGTTCGTCCATCGAAGTGCCATCGCGTCTATCCCGAATACATATTCTCGCTCGTAAACAAGGAACAACGAACGTGTAAAAAATGTCAGTCTAACAGGTGCGTCGAGTTTCTCCAGTCCACTGAAAGGCTGGTCGGAAAACGGGCAGGAAAGAATAATTGACGCCAGTGCGATCCCTGCTCTCCGATCTGCCTCTTCGTTCCTTCAATCGACTCGAGAATAGGACAGTTATGTACAGTAGGTATACTCTAGGAACGTTTATACAACCGTAGGCTCTCTCTTCCTTTCTCCCTCTGTCTCTCTGTCTGTCGCTTGTTAGCCTTATTCGGGTCCACTTTAGACTCCTTGTCTTCGTGAAGCATCGCCGTGTCTCCGTCCCGGCAACCCGTGCAAACACCATGGCGTCCATCAGTAGAACACAGGCGACCACTCGTGCTGCTGGTTCTCCTGTGCCGTGATCGGTATGTAGCCAACGGCGGAGGACGCCGGCAAACACTGGAAGCAGTAATTGGCTCCGGCGTTGTTGTCCCAGTACTGCTCGCCCTTGCACTGGAATCGAACCGCGAACTCGAGCCTCTGGCCGACCGGCAGCGTGTGACAGTACAGGATGAACGAGAATTTGTCGCTGAAACCGTCGCACGAGTTCGGCACGTAGGTGGCCTGCAGGTCGCTGAAGTTCCGCCACGAGTTCAGCGTGTACCGAATGTGCACCGACTTGTGGAAGTCCAGGTTGATCACGCGGACTGTACCCTGGACACAGAGAGAAATCGGGTCCTGAACGAGCACGTTCTCCAGGCACACTCGACGCTCGCGGACCAGATCCAGAAAGTTTGGTAGACCGGCTGGTTGTTGGAACAGAGGCACCAGAGTTCTGTCCAGCTTGCGCGGAGGCATCGTGCAACCTGAGCCACGCCTGCTGTCCACGTACCTGGTCCCCCATTGGGTGGTATTCGGCGACGTGTTCACCGGACTGGTGTCTTTCTGGAAGATGTCGTCGTAGATCAGGTCACTGTAGGCTGAGTTCGGTACTTTAGGGATCTCGTCGAGGAACGTTCGCACGTCTGCGAGATCTAGGCCTAGAACGTCCGCGAATCGAACGATCTTCTTTCTTCCAGGTGTGCCGGGTGGCGTTTTTCCCGTTTTCAGGGAAGAGCAGCGTCTGATCTTCTGAGGTCTCTCCTCTTCCTCCTCTTCCTCGATGCTGCCCTCTTGCGGCTCCTGGTCCGACACGTGGACGTCTTCCTTGACGGTCGGATTGGTCGCGAGCTTCTGCAGCAGAAGGCACATCTTGTCCTCGTCGCTGCTGTTGATTACAGTCCCGTTCTCTATCTGTAACTGTACCTCGTTCTTCACCGTCGTCTCGACCACTCGCTCGCCTGTGGGACACTCCAGAGTGAGAGCACCGGGAATGCTGATCATGCTACTGTACGTCGAATGGTCGTCAGTCTCGTTGCCGGTGTTCTCATCTGTCTTCAGATTCAGAGCGTTCTTCGTCTGTTGCATCGACGGATCGCTGGCTTTCTCTTCGTCGAACGGAAGATCCTCCTCGAATGTGTTGTCCGAGGAATCCGGGGAGTCCTCCTTCGCGAGGTTCCTCGCGTTCTTGATATCCTCCAATTTGCCGTTCTCCGACAGCCCGTTAACGAAGTCCACCTCGTCGGTTCCTTCCTCTATATTCTCGTCCCTCCTGCTCAGCGCGGAAGTGATCATTATCTTAGGCCCATGGACGGGTATCTCGGAATCGGAATGCGACTTGGGCAGTCGGTTCTGAATAGTGACGAAGCTAGCGTTATTTTTCGAGGGACTTTCGTCCTGAAGGGACATGGTACTCTCGTCGAACGTGCTCCAGAGAGACTCTTGGCTAGGAGACGTGGTGGTGTCTTGGGAGCTTCTGTCGTTGGAATCCTCGGAACTGCACGTCAAGTCGTTCTTCCTCGGCTCCTTATCGCAAAAGTTGTTCCTTCTGAACGAAGCACTCGACTCCGACGTGTCCTCGGAATGTTCCACGCTGATGTCCGGCCTCCTGCGATAGGACAAGTTCTTGGCCTTCACGGTGTCGCAGCCGTTCGAGAGATTCGAGGTAGTCATTTCGCTCTCCGAGGTGGTTACGGGATCAAAGAACACCTCGTTCTTAGCCTTCTCCACGTCTGACGATTCCGGGTCGAAGAATATATCGGAGGAATCGCTGTCTGGAGACGTTCCTAGCAGAGGTGACGCGTAGACGTACCCTGACTCGGAGTCTATGCTAGACAGCATAGCTTTCGATCCGTTGGGAGAACTGTGATGGATACTGCGATGATTCTTGAGTACCTCCGGATTCACAACCAGGTCCGCCACTTCTGCTGCAGTGGCTTCCTCCGCGGGCGAGCTGAGGCCATCCTCGAAATCGAGATCAAAGTCGTAACACAGGTCCGTGTCTGGATTGTGACGCGGTTGGTGCTGAAGAACGTGATTGTTCGCCGTGTTGTTCAGCATAGTCTTGGCCGCGGACGTGGAGCGCAACCAGGAGGTCTCTTTGGGCATCGAGGAGTCCTCGTTTCGCTGAGAACTTTCCTCGCTTCCGAGCGACGTGAGCCGTCGATGAAGGCGTCTGGCGAACGCCTCGGCACGTCCACGACAGCTGCTCGGGAAAAGAGAGCTGACCAGGCCACAGGAAGGGCCGCCACTGTGGGCGCTGCCCGCCGAATCCGTGCTGCCCATCTCGAGGACGGACGAGCCGGATGTCCCGTCGGCGTGCCTGCCCTCCGAGGGCGAGGTCGTGCTGCTACCCTGCTCTTCCGCCTCTCGACTCTCGGTGCTCGCCTGCAAGTTTACAAAACCATGTATTTTAAAAAGGGCAATTTTTTAACAGGTACGTAGAATATTTATATTTTATTTATTTTCAATCCTATTTTCCCTGTCCTAACTTTTCCTATCCTAACTTTTCCTGGATCCAATGTAAACCCTAAGTTTCAAAATATACACGTTCCTTTCCTTATCCTGATCTTTTTCCTCCCAATTTCTGTTACCCTAATTTCCTTTGTCCTGAATCCTTCAAGTCCTAAATTTGAACCTATATTTGTTACCTACTTAATTTATAGCGTCAAGTCTGGATGAATAAATAAATAAATATTAATCGACCAAGGCTAGTCAGAAACACTAATAATTTAAAAACAAGAAGTTACAATTTTTTGTCCACTGTGAGAGTCTTAGAGTCTTAAGGCTATTATTTTCTATCGAGCGCAGAGCGCTGGCATGATTCATATTCCTAATACCTATAATACCTAAAATCTCGTTAAATACCTATGTATCGTTAAATTATTTTCTAACTTCATCGATCACCTAGGAATTTCCTACGTGGACCCTATCATTTCCAATATTTCGATTTAACGTACATATTTCAGTTGCTGAATCCTTGAATCTAGCAGACGTAAGCGTTAGAGTACTTTCGTGCACGTGCGTCTATCTGCCCATAACACTAACGTTCCGGTAAAATGATTCCTATCTGGAAAACGTGTTCCAGATATCCCAGATTAATGCAGAATTAAATCATCTATCCAATTTATCTATTTAAAAATTAATCGATCCTTTCGTACAGCCTGCACACGTAATCCTTAGTACACGAAAATTCGTTTATTCTCTACTGCTGCGTATCCAGCTCGACTGTTGCAAAAATACCATGGCGTACAAATAAATCCCCTAGACGTGTTCCTTAATTGACACAATACACGTTCATTATCGGGCGAAACGAGCTATGCTATGCGTTTATCCGGAGTCACCTTCTCGTGATGGAGCGAGCGAAGAACGAGGGAGAAATTAATTATGCGCTAGAGGAGGAGCGTTCTTATGAAAAGCTGAATTTAAAGGTAGTTTCGTAATCACGCGAGAGGTCACCGGGGTTCACGATCGTCATTTGAATACAATTCGCGGCCGGGGGATCGAATCTTAGGCACCGCGTATAAATTTTCTCATCTCCTCGCATTTGCTCGTATCGGCTCGTAAATCTTGTCTTCCGCTTAATACACGGCAACCCTTTCGTGGTAGCCTAAGAAACGAAATTACGCGACGGCGTTAGATTCCTGCGCCGTTGCTCGCGTCGTTTGTTGAAAAATTCGCAACAATTCATCTACGTTCCACCCTTCTTCGTGACGAGGAACATATTTTCATCCTGCATAATCCGCGCGAATTATCGTCGCGAGTAGCATGAGAAAGCAATCTAGACAGAGGGACACCGAGGTATCCAAAGAATTTGGTGACACGATACTCTGGTTTATTTAACCCCTTGACATACGAATAAAACGGAATTCGATGCGTTCGAAAAATACTATTTAACGCTTTGACTGCCATGGAAGTACTTTTATTATTGAAAGCATATGAGAAATCCGGTCACCAATGACCACCATGGCATCACAGGAGAAACCGTGGTTAGTCATATATGACCAACATGGCAGTCAAAGTGTTAGTAATATATTGCACGATATACTGTCCACCAGAGATAGTTTTTGACGTCTCTGAGACGTCGAAGTCTACAGTGACACGTGAAATGGATGACGTCTTCCAAACGTCATTGTATGCCAACGGGTTAATTTTCATTTAATTTGCAATTTTCTATACAAATGAAGAAAGGGCTCTGTAGGAAGTATGAGAAAGAGAAAAAAGGGGAAAACTAAATACTGCTGGTTTGAACTAAAAGTGTAAATTTTGTGTAAACTGATATGACGGCGAGGCCTAACGAGAAACTCAACTGTCGCGTTCCTAACGCCGCTAAAAAGGACAAAAATTGAAACAAATGCCAGTGTAGATCCTCGCCAGGCCGATGCCAGCCCAGGCTACACTTGCACTTCGAAAAACTCCATGAATTTTAGCATAATATTCGAAACATAACCTAAAATATAACTGACACGACTAACAAATGAAATGTCCAAGAAGCGAACGAAAATTAATCCCTTGCGCTTGACGATTTTTAAAATTTAAAGAAGGATACGAGTTGAAAAATTTTCTGCTACAAAACTGGCAATACTTTTCTAACCCTTTCGCTACTATGGGTGACTATAGTCACCAGCAACGAGACGCCATCTATACACTATACTATAGTCACCGACCACAGAAATCGAGTAAAAAATTAAGACAAGTGCTACCATTCCTCTTAGCTTTCTTCTTTTCTCTTTCTCTTCGAAAGATTTGCGTCAAAAGACCGAATGCTAAAGAATGCACAATTGCAATGTTTCCATCTTTGACACGTCGCTCCGTTCTACGGGAAGAACTTCGTGGCGACGCCACGGTTAAGTAGTAAATAAAAAATCGTAAAATAATTAACACGTAGAATTATTTAATTTCGATACCTCGTACTCTGTTGCGTTATTTTAAATTTGATATGTTAATTAATATCGAGCTTCGAAATTTTATCAAATGACGACTGAAGAGGTTAAATGAGGGTGCAAGGGCTGCCCTAGGACAATCCTAGTCTATTGGTGAGATTACAGACGAAGTTTGAAAGAGAGCCGAATAGTATGAGTGTGAATAGCATAATTAATTTGTAATCTTTTTAGCTTGTAATTTACTCCTAGGTCTCTTAGCTAGTAAATAAAATGTATATTGCAATCAATAGCATCCTTTTATTCCGTATATTGCCGATCGGAACAATATCCTTACATGTACATGCCACTGGGAAGAAAAGTGGATGCAGCTAGATTGGATCGGGCTCCAATTGGTAGAGAGAGCCACGAGGAAATTTCCGTATTTCACGTGAATCAGGATGAACGGCCATTTCGTTTGTCAGTGACACTGACGTTGACGTTAACGAGGAAAGGACTGGGAAAAAATTGATCGGCCAGTTGATTCGTCGTGGCGTCCAGCGACACGAGACCAGCAGGAAAAGCACTCTCGTCGTGGGGCCTCCTCGAGGCTTGTAGCGGTTCCCGAGGTCGCGTATTAGGCGCACAATCATATTATTATCCCCCACAGTTAAAGTTACAACCGCCATTACAACGTTGTTGTTGTAATAGCTTCGAATTACGTCGATCGGCCATCGTACACCGTGTTATCCTACGTCGCAGCATCCTTGAATTAAAATAACACGCGTCGTTCTATTTATAAGCGGTTAAATTCTATAAGCCAGATTTATGGATCCTTAGGATGGTTAGGTGAGTGGTTCGACCGTTCGATCTTCGAATGATGGAAAGTTTCGGAAATTTTCAACAGAGCTATAGTTGGGATGCTGCACGAGTAGCTTCGGGTATTTCTGGAAGTACGGAGAGATCGTTCGATCACTGAGCTATGGTCTCAGCTTTTGGAATTTGCAGTGGATCTATAGATAGAGTACTGTGATGTGTAAGTTATGCACATGCTACACATGGACTTCTGGTAGTACCTTGAGTATTGGTACGATTTTGAGAATTTTCAGTAGATTCTTGTTTGGGATGCTGTATAGGCACTAAGAAGAATTCTAGAAGAACTTCTATCTATCGATTTGGAGGTAATGGCTACACAATTTTGGGAATTTTCAGTAAATCTATAATTATGATACTGTATAAGCTCTGGGTCTATCTGGAAGAACTCCTATTCATCGATTTGGAGGTAATGGCTACATAATTTTGGAAATTTTCAGTAAGTCTATGATTATGATACTGTATGAGCATTAAATACTTCTGGAAGAACTTCTATCTATCGATTTAAAGGTGATGGTTAGACAATCTTACAAATTTTCAGAAGATCTATGATTATGATACTATATGAGCACTAGGTATTTCTGGAAGAACTATAGATTGATTTAGAAGCGATGGTTACATACAAAATTTTGAGAATTTTCAGTAGATCTATGAATATGATACTATATAAGCATTAGGTATTCTTGGAAGAATTTCTATCGATCGATTTAGAGGCGATGGTTAGACAATTTTGGGAATTTTCAATAAATCTATGATTATAATACTATATAAGCATTAGGTATTCCTGGAAGAACTTCTATCTATCGATTTATAGCCGACGGTTAAATAATTTTGAGAATTTTCAGTAGATCTATGATTATGATACTGTATAAGCACTGGAAGAACTATAGATTGATTTACAAACAATGGTTACATACAAAATTGTGAGAATTTTTAGAAGATCTATGATTGTGATACTATATAAGCACTAAGTATCCCTGGAAGAATTTCTATCGACACTTAAGAATTTTCAGTAGTTCTATACTTATGATACTGTATAAGGACCGGATAATTCTAAAAGAATTTTGATCGTTCGATCTTTGGACGATGGTCAGACAATTTTTAAAATTTTCAGTAGATCTATACCTACGTATAGTGTTCTACGGGGTTCAAACACCTCAAGAAGTACTTCAATTATTAGATTTTTATAAAATTCTTAACAAGTTTAGGGGAATTTTACACCTATATTTCAAGTGTTTTACATGCTCCATGCTTGTGTTTTACACCTATATTTTAATTATACACCTATATCTGAAGTATCGTATCACATAAACGTTTGTAGAAGCACTCCAAATGTCTAACCTTTGAGTTATCACTCACGAAAAATTTGAAGAACTTTAAGTAACTACATAACTGTATCTTGGAAGGATGGAAAGTTTCAGAAATTTTAAGTGAATTTAAGCCTGAATTGACTTTTATTCTTATATCTTTGTTATTCAATGATCGGTTAATATGGCAAAGGGGCTGGTAATGAAAGATCGGTATGCAAAGTCGGCGTGTATAAAGTGATTTATAGATTTGTAATATTCTTGGACGAGCTAAATAAAAAGAAAAATGAGTTAATGGTGCGCTGGGAGTTAACCCCTGTGATTAAGTTGCGCTTTTTGAATTGATGAT